TTCCCTTTTAGCCTATTTGTAAGGGTGCCCAAAAAAATAGTTTATTTTCCGGGCCTATTGTACGTGCAAACATACGCACCATTCTTTTGAACAGCGGTAGGTTGATCGGGTCACGATCGAAAAACGGGATGTTGTTTGTCATATTGCTGAGCATGGACATAATGTTGTGTTGCGCATACTGCGGTTTGCGTAGGTGGTCGTAATTGCGTGTCTCTTGTTCCTTTTCTATGTATGGGGTCATGATCAGTATTATGTCACCACGTCGTCTATCCTTATTCACGTTAAAATCGACCCGATCTGTATGATAATCAGTTGGTGGTGGTGCCGTTGCCATACACGCGGCTTTCATCATTTTTTCGAGTTCTTCGCTCGTATCCTGTATTCTATCCCATAGCTGTTGGTTGTGTAAGTCGCTTGCCCCGATTTTTCTTGACTCATCGCTTTCGTACTGTGATGCACCGGAAATCGGCAAATTTGGTTTCCCCGGCATGCCCCATAGTATCGGTAGGGTGTCTACTCTATCCGTTCGGGCTCCGCGTGTTTCTTTGGCCCTTCTTATATTGCCCCCAATGGCTTGTTCGCCGGAAATAAGACTCACTTCTTTGTTTGCGGGTCCTATGCTTACTTCTACGTCGCGTTGTATGTAATCGAAGTCCCTATTTGTTGGTGACAAATTTCGGATGGGCCCTGCGGTCGCTGTGAATGGCACGCCCACTTCCTCTGTCTTCTTTAGCTTTGCACTAATTTTTGAAAACAGGCCCATTACTATTGCCTCCGTTCTTTCATCGAGGGCGTCTAGTTTCTCGCACCCTTCTGGTTCGAGTTCTAATTCTAACATCTGTTCCGCCATATTTTTCTTTTGCTTTTTATTACTAGGGTCCTGCCTGCACGTGTCGATTATCGTGTTATCTAGGCCTTCGTTCTCGCTTTCTGACTCATGGGTAATGCCGCCAAGATGAATCATTTTTTTCCCTACTTTTTCCCTCCTTTTTGTACGTGTCGTGAAACATATTTTCTTTTTGATTATTGCAAATCTTATGTATTTTCCTAATTACGGGGCGACGTTTAATTACGTATAGAGCGGCTTAATAATAATCGCGCGAAAAGAATAGTAAGAGGCAAGACAAGAAAGCAAAGGAGTGGCGTGTGTCTTTTACTCGGTTTCTTTTAATTTTGTGCTCTCTCTTTGTTTAGTGGTAAATAGGACGAAATATTCTTCTGGGAATATCTGTAGTCTATTTTAGTTAATAAAAATTTTAGTAATGAAAATAGTGATCTATATAGGTGCGGGTTATTATTATTATATAATTATTTTCGAATANCATTATATTTATTTTTTGTGCATAAATATAACCTTAAACTAAGTAATAAACGTGGTTTCTATGACAAACATCTAGATAAACTAAAATAGAAAATTTTTTTGGGTTTTATGAAAAAAAAAATAAATAAAAAAAAAAGTTCAATCTTAGCCCACAAATAGAAGAGTTCAAGTTAATATTAATACAAGAAAACTTTTTAATGGTTTTATCACGCACCTCCCCTTCTACTCTACAAACTTTAAAGTATACGACTGTAATCAATTTTTAATATAAGATGTCCAATGACAGTTGGTTAATAAGTAAAGTAACGTCCAATTGTGGTATTGTCAAATTTTGTATTTATTGAAAAACAAAACGACGTTTCGGCCGTTTAGACAATGTCCCGACCCTCATCAGGTACAACAATCTATGATTAATAAAAAATTCTTTACAATACAAATTTTGATAAATTCAGTAAACGCAAACTAAGTAAGGCGTATAATATACCTCTGACTCTTACAAACGGAATGTAAAATCGTAATGTAGTGAGAGTTTTAAGTTTTGTTGCTTTTACACCCTACACATATACAAATGACACAACATACGCACACAATACAATCAAATAAGAATCGCAAGCAGTTCCTTGTGAGACATACGTAAACAGATCATGTTTTCCTAATACCATAAATTAAAGGGACCTTTAAATTATGAACATAGAGTTAGCCTCCTTTTCAAATTGACTTAACGAGAGACTTGTAACAATCTTTTAATTTTTCTGTATCTAGTTGTCTATTAATATTATTATTAAAATAATGTATATTTAACATTTCGGAAAAAAGGCACTTTTTTAAATTTTGTTCTGTGTCTAAAATTTTTATTTTTTCAAAATTAAAATTGTGTGTAAATTCAATGCCATGTTGTAATAGTGCAGATGCATCTTTTTTTTTCTTGATGTCTCTTTTGTGTTCTGACATTCCTTATTTCGCAGCTCTCGATGTTTGACCGACATCAGCAGTTGCAATCCTTACATGGTATGTAGTAAACGACATTATTTTTATTGAGTGGCTCGGTTACATCTTTTTCAAGTGAAAAGATCGAATTTAATTTATTGTTTAAACTGTATACAAGACCAATGTAAAGTTTCTTAGAATAATATTTAATAGGACCGTGCAAGTAGGGAATATAGGGTAATAATAAGATAATATCAAAGGTGAAACTTCCAATTAATAATGAGATAAGTTTATAATTATTATTATTTCTATTGCGATTGTCAATCATATTAATGTTTTTTAAGGTATTTATTCTTTTGTTTAAAAATGTATAAATAAATATTGAGGATAGGTGTTGGCTAGTGAAAATTAATTGATTAGTTTTAAATTATCGTTATGAAATTGAGTGTCTGCTAATTAAATGGAAAAGTCTACTAATGTGTAAATGAGACCTGTTTTATGTTGTACTGGATGGTGGGAGAGAAAATTCAAGTATTGGCCTGAGTGTGTGGGTTTTTGGTACCAATTAATTAGTACTGTGTTATTTTGTTGAATGATAATTTCTAAATCCAAGAAACTAATGTTGTTGTTATTACAAGTCTCAACAGTAAGTAACTACACGAGGGCCGGAACATTGTCAAAACGGCCGAAACGTTGTTTTGTTTTTTAATAAATACAAAACTTGACAGTATCACCATTGGACGTTGTTTAAAATTATCAACTTATTGTAATTAGACGTCTTATTTTACAATTGAAATCCAACTCACAACTCAAACAATCATGTTATAATAATTTTTTGTTACTAACTCAACTGTTAATCAGGTTTCTAATATTATATTTAAAAGTTTTTTGTCAATGAGTTTTAATTTTATTGTACCTAGTAGAAGTATAGCAGGGCTACTCCACGATTTCACGTATTTCCGTAGCAGCGCTATTCAGTGCCTCCCTTACTTGCCATGATGCCCATATTGCGCATACAATTATGTATGGTACTGTATCAGTCGCACTTGTGGTTAATGGACGTAGCTCTGTGGCTATCACCTCCAGCCACCTGTATGGTCCTCATTTGCTCCCATAGTGTCCAGAATTGCGACGTTTAATTGTGGTACGTACGATACACCACGTACGGCACATGACATAAGCAAAGTTTGAAGTTGATTCCAGCCATGCTGTAGCCTATTTGTATGCAGCATGCGCTCTCATCATTACTAGCTCTTGCTGGCCATCTTTTTCTTAGTATACGTGCATGTTTAATCATTAGTTTCAAACCAGTTGAATGAAAATTTTTAACTAAATTCATTACTATGCAAGCGTAAGCTGCGATGATGAAATTTTTAAGCTTAGTCGCTTACTTTTGAGCGCATTTTTCGTTGAATCCAAAAAAGCTTTGAGAGGTTCTATATGCTTTACGGAGCTTTGCTAAAATGTGCTTTAATATCTACGAATGGGTAAAACCATTTTACTATTTGGGCGAACATTGTACTAGACTAAGTTTGAAAACTAGTTGCGTAACGCAACCACAGTCGTCCCTATATTAGTGGCTGTGTAAAAAATTATTTAAAACCAATAAACTGCATTATTTTTACTCCGTGTATTAGTATTCGACATAATTCTTTTACTCATAGAAAATTATGTGAAAGTGTGACATTATTTTACAATATTTTTGAAGCACTAGTTCAAGATGTCGTTTAATATTTTAAAATTTAAAATACCTAATTGATTGTGGAGAATCATTAAAAAAAAAAAAAAATCAAAAGAAAAAACAATCGTATTTTTGAGAATTTCTTCTTATTTCCGTGTGTTTTAAGTAATGAACGCTTTCGTAGCTTTAACAATCTATACTTTTCAGTTAGTTGGATCTACACACAAAAATTGTAAAGCTTAAAAACTGAAAAAGCTACATTTATTTACACCACCACTTTAAATATTAACACTCAAAAAGATTTACGAAAATAATTTCGCAAAAAAATTTCATCGCATTGTTAATTAAATTTACCTCCTGCAATTTTTTAATTTAAAAGGTAATTTTACTTTGAAGACCGTTTCATTGCATATTATGACAGTACTTTTTTCTGCATCNACAATTTTTATCGTACCTATTGACTACACTTAAATCATTCGAGATTAATAATACTATGAGGGCTATAATTCTTCACTTACTAGGCTTTGAAAGTATGGACTCCATTAAGTTACAAAAGTGTCCATAGGGCCAAACGCAGTGGGTCGCGAAAGTACTGTCTATTTTAGGTCACAAAAAGCCTTAGGCCGAAATCACACGCAGCAGAATGAGCCTGGCGAATGATGAATAACGAATGGGATTGATCAATCAGCACTATTCATCGATTATTTCATTCGCCATTCGTCGTGTGCCCCGTTCACATGGAGCTGAATAGAGCCGACGAATGGGTCTAATATTCAAATTACTATACCTACAATTACAATTAATAATTCATAACTTATTTGCCCATTAATGAATGTTTTTGATAAAGAAAATGCAAACTATGTACTTCCGTTTGTATGTAATAGATTTTTTTATTACTTCAATAAGTTATTAAAGCACATTCTATAACTTCAATTTATGACTCATTTGTCGGCTCTATTCCGCTCCATGTGAACGTGGCACACGACGAAAGACGAATAAAAGAACAATGATGATAATTTTTTAAATAATTTTTATTCTTTTTCAATAATAATAGCATGTCGTAATTTTCAGGTTCCATGGGATGCTTTAATAACATTAATGTCAGAATGTATATACGGTGGAAAAATTGATAATGATTTTGATCAACGCCTTTTAACATCTTTTCTTCGAAAGCTTTTTACATCACGATCATTTGAAACCGACTTTGCCCTTGTTGCCAACGTAGATGGTACTTTAGGAAACCAGAGACACATAACAATGCCTGATGGAACAAGAAGAGAGGACTTTTTAAAATGGATTGAATCATTATCGGATAAACAAACACCATCTTGGCTTGGACTACCTAATAATGCTGAAAAAGTCCTTTTAACAACTAGAGGAACTGATTTGGTTTCAAAATTATTAAAAATGCAACAGTTAGAAGATGAAGATGAGCTTGCTTACTGTACCGAAGAGTCATTAGATATTCAAGGAGAAGCAGATACAGATGGTCGTCCGTCTTGGATGAAAACTTTACATAACTCTGCTTCTACGTGGTTACAATTACTACCAAAAAGCTTAATTATTTTGAAAAGAACAGTTGAAAACATAAAAGATCCGTTGTATCGATATTTTGAACGAGAAGTTAATAGTTGTTCTAAGTTATTACAAGATGTTATTCATGATTTGGAGGATGTTGTTTCTATTTGTCAGGTAAACGGATCTGATACATTTTCTCTAGTAATGTGAAATTATATAATAATCTTTCTACCGCTATTTAATACCTTTTCAAGTAACAAAATTTTATTGCATTTTTTTTTATTCTGCAAAGCACTTGTTTTACTATAAAGATTAAAAAAAAAGTTTATTGCTGTAGAAATTATGATCATTAAAATAAACACATTTCTAAGTGCTTTATTCTGACTATCAATGCATGCATTGCTTTTATCTTCTTACAAAAAAAGAGGCTAGTTCTGTGAAATTTCAAAAGTATTTTTCATGTTTGTACAAATATGGCCTATAGGAGTTAGCAACTCTAGTGGCAAACGAGACCTCACATGTTTGCTGCTACGTTCTCTACAAGAATGCATACTTAAACATATATAACATATTTATACCATCTACTAATTGTGAGTACGTTAATAACAAGTGTGTGTATTGCTCCTGCTCTTGCTTCTCCCTTTAGACGAGAGCCTTTACCTACTTCAAGCATTGACCTTCTTATACTCGTCCGTTATCTGAATATAGGAGTACGCATGTATGAATACTGTTCAAAGCACTGAAATAAGTATAAATTTCTTTCTCGATCAAAATGGCTTGTTAAGGCTTCCTGTAAAAGTTGACTATTCTTCGTACGACTCAAATTATTTTTGTTCTGGCTACTGGATAATTATACTTAGTATTTTTGAATAATACTTTTGGATTTGAAAGCAAGTCTAACAATTCAACGGATACTTTACTGTTGTTGTCTTCTACTATTTTCTTTTAACAAAAAAATTGTGAAAATGTGTACATTTTTTCCATTATCTAATCAATAATCGGTAACAACGTTTAAAAAATATCTCATTTCTGCTACCTGAGAAACAAACATCTTTAAGCTCACAGTTTATTACGTGAATACTATAAGATATTAGATGAAACATAAGCTGAACCAGCAAGACTACCAAAACTATGGTTTACACCAACAAAAATAGAATCATAAATATATCATCAACTTATTGTTTGCTGACGACCTCAAGCATTAACCAACTGTTTGATTATTCTTACTTTTTACCAAGAAAGCAATTACAAAACGAAACAATCAGTATATTTTGACATCGTTTGAATTCTTTTTAGTATAGAAAATAGGTGCATCAGATATGTTTATTTAAATATTTTGATCTATAATTAATTTAACTTATTTAAGAAGGTTATTTATTACATGTTTTTTTGGTTTTTTTCATGGGACACAAGACTTTAAAAATGCAATTTTAATTGAACCCACAAGAAGTAACCTTCTAGCATTAGTAATTTATTTCACAGCGTGATATGTTAATGGCCCGTTGCGTCTAACAATTAATGAAAAACGATGGTTTGAGTTTGCAAACCAGCATTTATAAAATTTTTTTGTATTATAATATTATTGTAGATAATTTTGTAACAAAAAAAATCATTCAAATTAATATCATCAGAAATCTGATAATTCACTTTTAATATACGTATAATTATACGTTACAAAATAATTTAAGATGCTCAATTTGCAAATCACAATTGTTTAATTTTCCAATACACCATGAGGCTTATGATACCTCACATGCTAAAGTCGTAACGTTGTAAATAGCTATATTAAAGATGTAATTACAAATGAGAATCCAAATCAATTGGATAAATCAGGTACTTTATATTGAGTTTTTTTTTAACTTAAACAATTAGACTTTAAACAAACAAAAATGAACAAAGCAAAATCGAATAACCGTAATAAAAAAGTAATCTATCTGATAGCATAATGCAGCTGCAGTCTGCTAAAATTGATGTGAATTAAAAAGCTCTAGTATTGATTTTATAATTAGCATGTACCATTAAATTTTAATTTTGTAGCCTTATTGTGGGTTCTGCTGTAAGAAAAAAAAAAAATAAATAAAACAAAATAAACATTACTATATTGACAAATGCTGCAATTGCAGAATTTTGCTTGAAATTCACGACTTACACGACTTATGTACCTTTAGAGCCTAGTGCGTTTGGTTCTATAAACGCTTTTGCAACCAAATGCAAGTTATAATTTTTCAATTCCGTTACTTAGAAATTGTTTTTTGAATAATCTTTCTAAAATTGTTTAATTACAGTGTACTTAACAGGTACATACAAAATAATTCAATGAATACTTGATTTGCAAATTGAGTAGCTTGAATTACTTTGTAACGTGTAATTATACGTATATAAAAAATGATTCATCAGATTTTTGATGATATTAATTTAAATGTTTTTTTTGTTACAAAGTTATCTGCAATCACATTACAATACAAAAAAATTTTGTAAATGCTGGTTTACAAATTAAACGATTGTTTTTTATTAGTTGTTAGATGCAATGGGATGTTAACATATCACGCTGTGAAATAAATTACTAAAGCTAAAAGGTTACTTCTAGTGGCTTCAATTATATTATATGTACATATACTTTTATAGGACTCGGTAGCCGCCGATGACTTTCTCAAAAATACAGGTATGTAGTGATGTGATAGCTTAAGCTACCGCTTCACAATTTTTATCGTACCTATTGACTACACTTAAATCATTCGAGATTAATAATACTATGAGGGCTATAATTCTTCACTTACTAGGCTTTGAAAGTATGGACTCCATTAAGTTACAAAAGTGTCCATAGGGCCAAACGCAGTGGGTCGCGAAAGTACTGTCTATTTTAGGTCACAAAAAGCCTTAGGCCGAAATCACACGCAGCAGAATGAGCCTGGCGAATGATGAATAACGAATGGGATTGATCAATCAGCACTATTCATCGATTATTTCATTCGCCATTCGTCGTGTGCCCCGTTCACATGGAGCTGAATAGAGCCGACGAATGGGTCTAATATTCAAATTACTATACCTACAATTACAATTAATAATTCATAACTTATTTGCCCATTAATGAATGTTTTTGATAAAGAAAATGCAAACTATGTACTTCCGTTTGTATGTAATAGATTTTTTTATTACTTCAATAAGTTATTAAAGCACATTCTATAACTTCAATTTATGACTCATTTGTCGGCTCTATTCCGCTCCATGTGAACGTGGCACACGACGAAAGACGAATAAAAGAACAATGATTAAAATACATTTTCTTTTGCAAGTGTCCATCGTCCAGTTTTTCATTAAGTCTAAATTATTTAAGTGGTTAATATGGTTAAATCTGCTGTTGCATAACTTTATGTATCGAAGAAAAATCAATCAGTATCTGCACGCATCAACTGTAGCTGAATGGACGTATGGGAAAATCGCCGAATAGCGCTGATTGGTCGATCCCATTTGTCATTCGCTAGGCTCATTCTGTTGCGTGTGATTTCGGCCTTATAGTTTTAATCACGTAAGGGAACAAAAATACTGACTATAAATGTAGGAGTAAAAATACGTTTTTTTTAAAATGATAAAAAGAATTCGAACAATGTCAAAATATACTGATTGTGTGGTTTTGTGATTGCTTTCTTGGTAAAAAAGTAAGAACAATCAAACAGTTTGTTGATGCTTGAGGTCGTTAGCAAACAATAAATAAATAATGATCTTATGATTCTATTTTTGTTGGTGTAAATGATAGTTTTGGAAGTCGTGTTGGCTCAGATTATGTTCCATCAAATATCTAATAGGATTCACGTAATAAACTGTGAGCTTGAAGATGTTTGTTTCTAAGGTAGAAAAAATGGGATAGTTTTTTAACAGTATTACTGATTATTTATCATATGAAAAAAAAAATTATACATTTCCATGAATTACTTTAAACATATAACATCGTACCTGAACGATACTGTAATTGTTTGTTGTACTAAGCATGATACCTTTTTTAATTTTGTTACATTTGTAAATTAAGCGCCGTAGTATTTTTGAATACGTAGATTGTGAAATGGTAATAATTGTATAACATTACCACTAATTATTTGTTGAAAAAAAAAATAATGTTGTTTCTCTGTTATATTCGATGAACGATCGTACAAAAACTATTTAAAAAAAAATTTTTACTTTTCGATTGTACTTAACCTTACATTACATCAATTCTAGTTAAATAAAAGAGTTATACTACTGATCAATGATTTTATATCAAATGAGCGTAGAAGGTAAAAACTTTACATAAAAAATAAACTGCATATTATAACTCAATCAAGACTTGTTTATCATGTAATGTTATACTGTGTATGAAGTCTCGAGAATATTTTTACACTTTACATTTTAATTATTCCTGGTTTAAGAAAAATTATTTAAGGAGGTTTGGGAGTATCAGTCAGAGAGGTAAGGAACGGGGGGTCCCGCCTGCCCGTGCAGATGTGTCCCCTTTACCGAGCACCTCCTCTTGCACTCTACAAACTTTAAACTGTACGACTATAATTGATTATATTTATAAAAAATGCCTGGCGAGTGTTGATTTTTTTTACTGCGCATTTTCCTTTTATACTTACGTATCTATAAAAATGTTTTTTTTTCAATCCAACACATGCATAATGTACCCTAATTTTAATTAAAAAATTAAAAGGCCACTTAAAATGGTTAACTTCATTACTGTCCTGATATGCTCAAATACAGCATACAGTTTTTTTGGCACGATTCTACATTTTGTACTTTTCTCTCAAACATTCCTCATGATGTAGAATGTTACATTAATATCTTAACTATTCAAGTTAATTTGGTCAACACACTTTAGATTAATTCCTTACTTAAGCATTTTATGCGTTATATATTGCAAAGTAAATGTTGAAGTAATCTAGAGCCCTAATTTTCTATTTAGTTATTTAGTTTATTTTTCGATGGTGTAACATACCCTTTTTTTGACTGATAATAAATTGTCTTACAATTCCATTATTCAATTTTAAAGTTCTGTCTGTTTACACTATATTAAAAAATGCTTTTGGTTTAACCTTTATTATACCTTACAATAAATTTTTTGCAAAAGATTTTCTGTTTCTCAGGTCACATGGAAGTAGTAGTTACTAAACATACTAAATACAAATAAGTATCTTACTTTATCA